ATCCAACTAGCAGCTCTGTAGGAGAAAATGTGGTTTACAGCCTCGGAAACCCGGTACAGAGTCGCTATGAGTCCACGGCACATAACCACCACCACCACCATGCTCTTATTAAGATTCACCAAACGCATTGCCATTGGGTTGATTCCAATTCACAGCAAACTTTTAAAGAGACTAGAACTGCCCACATAGGGTTTCTAAGGCTATATTCTTTACCGAAGCAGACTGCTACGTCTGATGAATTTGAACCAATGACTTTTTGAACCAGTTGCAGTCAGGCATTTTAGCCACTGTGCCACCAGGGCTCCTTCTCATTAAGATTACAGTCTGGAAAACCCTATAGAACAGTCTTAGTCTGTCACATGATGCCACTGAGTCAAAATCAACTTGACAGTACCTAACAACAACAACAATAACAACAAAGTAGTGTATTGCTGAGGCATATTCTCCAATGTACATTTTACAGATATATGCCCATATGAAAGAAAGAACAAAAACAGTTTCCTCTAATAGTGCCCTATATGACAACAACCTATTGTAAAACCTGAGATCCAAATTCACAGGTGAAAATTCCAGAATAATTTAACACTAAGTAGCGCTGCAGGTTAATGCACTGGACTGCAAAGTTGGCTTGAACCTCAAGATCAGTGGTTCAAGTTCACTAGCTGTGCCTTGCAAACCCTAAACAGGGTTGCTATGGGTTGGAATGGAACCAACTTGAACAGGAAGAGTGAAGCATCCAGCTGCTATGAAACGAGGGAAGACACACAAGAATGCCCAAATTTGCAGATAATACCCATTTGACCTAGCCTCGATGGCTTGATGATCAGAACTCGACTACAGGAAGATAAAAAACAATTTTTGAGAAAGGAAACAAGTGTAAATTGCTCCAATTTGATGAACTTGACCTATACTTATGGATGTAGTAGCTCAAAATACCAATTGAGAGGGAAGGAGTCTTCATATCAAGTATCTATCCTATTCCCTCTGTACACAGGGTTGAAGGGGACGGGAGACTTGGATATTGGCTACTTAAAATGAAGGGGCAATGAAGGCATGAAGTAACTGGCTTACACATTTTCAAGAGGGAGTTTAGTTTAAGAGTGTGCAGAGGAAGGCAGAGTCCCCACTGAAAAGTTTTTATCTTGTCTAGATGGGTCTGGTGAAACGAGATGTGGATAAGATTCTTATGACTCAATAGTGAGTAATTGTTATCATGACTAATTGTGACTGCCACAATTATAAAGATAGAAGCTTTGTAGCAAAAAGGAGGGAGTAGTTAATCTTACAGTCCAGAAACAGAGGACCCTAGGACCATCAAGGAAGAAGAGCACAAGTGGAATGTGGGACCCTATCCAGAGAAGCAGTGACACCAGAGATGGATGCAGAGATGACGACATGGAGCGAGGGAGCAGTTCAGGACTCTAGACTCATGGAAAGAGAGGGACTGAGTGCTGGCAGCCAGGAGGCAGGCTTGCAGAATGTGCCCTTTGGTTGTTTAAATTCCTGAGTGTTTTTGTGTAAATTCCCCTTCAAAAAAGAGAAGCACACACATAAAACAAACAGAAGGAATAGAAGCAAATATTGTTGAATGATGATTCATTTCAAACTCGGAGGAGACTGTAATCATTGCAATGAAATGATGAGTGTAAAACCAATGTTCTCTCATGTAAATTATCACTCAATTCACAATAAAAACTTTTTTTTTCAAAAAAAAGGCCTTTGATGGTTTGCCAGTATCTCAGAAATTGTCTCCGCCCTGCCCTTGTTATCCTCTCCCTCTCTGAGTTTCAATTCTCCATCTGTAAAATGCAAATAATCTCTTTCTCTTACAAGAGTTTTGAGAAGATTAAATGAAATACTCCATGAAAAACTTTTAGAATTAAGACCAGAAAATAAAGCTTTTAGATACATATCCGGCATTGTGATTACTGTGAATTTCATTTAAAGATGAATAAGATGATGTATGTAAGTCGTTAGCACAGTACCAACTTATTATTATTGTTATCAGTTTTGTCATTCTTATTTCAGCCCTTTATTTTATAGTTGATTTCCATCTCTCTGCTTGGACTATTTGGACAGATGCTATGTTGCTTTTGATTCCGTTTTCACTACTTTCTGCTAACTTTTCTATCCCTGAGAGTATGAGCTCTATAATCCACGGGTTAATCATGCCCATTCCTGTTTCAGTGCAACTGCCTATGTTCAATGAATGTATACTCATATATGTAGGGCTGCCCAAAATGAAGCTCCAAATATGCTCTGATTGGTCGATGGAACAAAGCCAAATAAATAAAGGCCAACAATTTCCATGACTCTTGTCAAAAACCATAGTGGACAATTATGATGATTTTTTAGTAATGGTGGAAAAGCAGTCACATTTTTTATTTAAATTCAGAATGAGGAAATAGGCGTAACCAATGCTTTTCCACATGATGTTTGGGCAAAGATGGGCTGTATCCATAGCAACAGAACATATTTAGAGCCAAATGCTGGGAAAAGTATTTCCACACTGATACAGATGTCCAAGTTGTATACTATGTTTCTGAAAACGTGTTGATGGACAGGTTCATAGGAAACACATCCTGCACCGAGAGTTGCTTTATAGGAGGGTTATCCTTGTTAGAAATGCCTCTGGATGATGTCATGTATGAGTTCTGGATCAGCTGAAGTTGATTACAGAATGATGGAGGTTGAAGAGGGCTCTAATCCAGTAATGGATTCTCAATGTGTCACAGACAAGGAAAGAATATTTTATTTGAGTTTTGGAGAAATACACAGACTAGTTTCAACAGGAGAGTGAAAAACTTCAGTCCCATTGTACCTTGTTGACTTTCTAGCATTGGTTATTAAGATCAATCAAATTTTATTTCATATTTACTGAGTTTTCCTACAAGCTTATTTGGCTCCTTAAAAACCAGGGTCTAACTGGGTCTGATTGATATGATTCATTTCTGTAGCCTGGCACAAAAGCAAGGGCATATAGCAAACTCTCTTTGAATCCATCCATCTAACCATGCTTCCAAGTACCTTGAAAGAGAATCTGAGAGAGCTAAATATAAAAGACATCCCCGGGTGGTGTAAATGGCTAACACTCTTAGCTGCTAATGGAAAGGCTGAATGTTTACAACCACCCAAAGCCATCTTGGAAGAAATGTCTGGAGAAAATTCAGTCATTGAAAACCGTATGGAGGAGCACACTTCTACTCAAATACACACATAGTCTCCATGAGTTGGAATCTTAATTGATGGCAACTTCTCTTGTATAAACCAGCCATATAGTCAGAAATGGAAACTAATAGTTATTGTGTCCACATCCATCTTTGGATCAGATCATCCTCTGTTTGCAGAATATTTAGACGAGTGGATTGGGGAATCAAGACACAAATGGATAATTCCAATACAATGTATTAAAAGTTGTGAAGTTGAGTCATTGAGACTAGTTCTATTTTCTGTTGCCTTCCACATCCCTTCCTCAGAAATCCTGCTGATCTCATCACCACTGTCCTCATTCAAACCCTCTCCATTTTCTGTTGGGATTAATGAGCTAACCTATTAATACTGACCTCCATGTCTCTAGCCACGTACCCATAGCCTTCTTCCTTACTGGTGTTTGCATGAGTTTTCTACAACCAAGTTCTAAGTCTGTTCACTATTTCAATTCACTAGTTGCCTTTGAATTACAAGATTAAGTTCAATTACTCAGCATGTTTTGCAAGAATTTGTTATGATGTGGTCCCTGCTCAGCTCTCTGTCATTGCTAGCTATCCTCTAAGTTCAGAGTTTTCTGGGGGGGAAATGATTTGTAAACCAAGATAAGTAATAGATTCTGATATGAGTTATCAAGGTAGTGAAGAACTCTGTGGGTGGAGGAGCACACAGAAGCGCACTGTAGTCGAACTGCAGGACCCATGAGAAAGCTGTAGGGAGGACTATCTAGCTTTGTGTTACTGTCATTGTAAAGTGCTGTTGCATCGATTCTGACTCATAGTGACCCTATATAGGGTTCCCAAGGAGCAGCTTGTGGGTTTGAACTGCTGACCTTGTGGTTAGCAGTCCAGTGTTTATCCTACCGTACCACACAAGGATTCCAATCTAGCTTGACTGGCATATATAAATGGAGACAACAGTTCATAAAGGGTTTAATGTACAAAGAAGACTCGTCTGAGTTATCCAGTACTAGGGGGGACCTGTGAAGGCTTTCCACTGAGGAGTAACATGGTCTTTTACACAAAGTAGAATATCACTGTAGCTGCTGTGTCAATGATGGATTCATGTGTGACACATCACAGATGAGGAGATGGGTTAGTCATCACTGTCCGGAGCAGCATTTATTTATTTAGCAAATACATGGTATGTGTGGACCAAATGTTAGGGCCTACACTAAGAGTTTGAATAGCTAGGTCAGCAGTTCAAACCCACCAGCTACTCTTTGGAAACCCTATACAGGGTTGCTATAAGTTGGAACCAACTCAATGGCATTTAATAACAATAACAAAGCTAAAAGAAAGGAGCCTTTTGAACAGTGAATTACGAGGTGTGTTCCTAACTGCAAGGTCAGTGGTTTAATCCAGCAGTCACTTCATGGGAGAAAGATGAAACTCTCTGCTTGTATAAAGAATAAAAGCCTTGAAAACCCTAGACAGGGTCAGAACCAATCAGTGGCACACCATCACCACACTAAGAGAAGGCTGTTGGGTGGTGCAAATAGTTGACTTGACTATTAGCAGAAAGGTTAGTAGGTGCCTAGGAAGACAGTCCTGGCAATCTGCTTTTGAAATGTCTCAGCTTTGAAATACCTATGAAGCACTTCTACTCTACCCACATAGGAGCACCGTGGGTTGGAGTCAAGTCAACAACAGATAACAATCCTAAGAGAGTGAATTATTCTGCTTCAGGAGTCTGCACATTCACCAGCTACTGAGTAAGTGGTAACGTAGCCAAATGAGCTACTCGAGGGGACAAAAGTGTGCAAGATTATACTGCAGGAAGTGTCAACTTACCAGTTTTCCAGTAACACTCTGGCCACCTTCATTCAGCCACAGCCCAGGGACCATAGCTGAGAAATAAGGACCCCAGACGCCTGGTACAAAAATTGGCTCTTTGCTGATCTGAAAAGAAAGGGGTAAAGTATATGAAAACATTGACCCTCAGAGGTAAAGGGCTCCTTATCTTCTTCCCACCTGCTGTTGTTATGACAATGGACCTCAGCTTCTTATTGAATCCTTTTTGTGGTGAGGAAGTAACTTCCTCCAAAGGAAAGCCATGGCTCCATCTTTGTAAACCTTTCTGATAAATCCATTTATATGTTAAGGTATCAAAAGTGATTTGTTCCTTGCTGGCTTTCTGTCTGTGGTTGACAGATTGCTCAAATGGTCTCCATTGTACACCCCTCCCTGTGTCTATACACTTTGCAATGTAGCTGTGTAGCTACATCTAGCCACTTCCCAGATTTGGGCTGGGATGTCTGTATGAAAATGGTTATTGTACTTTGCTACTAACTGAAAGGACTGCTGGGATGGCTCTGTAGGATCAGCACTGGACTGCCAAATACAAGGTTGGCAGTTCAAACTCACCAGTCACTCCTTGGAAACCCTATACACAACCACTGTGAGTTGGAACTGACTTGACAGCATTTAATAACAATAGCAACTAACTGAAAGTTGGAGGTTCCACTCCACCTGATCATCTACTTCTGAAAAACCAACCATTGAAAACCCTATGGAGCATCGTTCTACTCTAACACACAAGGGGGTGCTGTGAGTCGGAACTGACTTGATGGCCAATGTCTGAATCTGGGTCAGCTTTGTGACTTGTTTTGGCCAGTGGAATGAAATGGCAGTGATACTGTGCCAGGTTTCCATATCTAGACCTCATGATACCCATGTGCTTCCACTCCTTCTCTGGCTCCTCTGCTTTTGCCAAGAGAACTAGCCTGTTGTATAAAAAGATGTGTGGAACACAGTGAGTCAGCCTAGTTGTCTTAGATGCCCCAGGTCAATGAAAGCACCCAGGCAAGACCAACAAGGCCTCCTAGTTGACCAGCAGCTGATTAGCCCAGATGGCTGGAATTAACCAGTCAGCTAACAGACTTGTGAGCAAAAATAAATGTCTATTTTTGTAGGTCACTGAAGTTTTGTGTTTGTTTCCTACTCAGCATTTTTTTGTGGCAACAGGCAATGAATACATACCCCTCCTTCTACAAATGTTTACAAGCCACTTAAAAGCACGCTGTCTCATTCTACTGGGTGCCACGGACACAGATGAATCAGATACAGTTCTTTTCTTTACAAAGTTCCCCATTTAGGAAAGAACTAGACAAATAAGCAGACAAGTAAAACAGCGTGGTCTGTGGGATAGTAGTATTAGAATGTTGTGGATGGACACTGTAGCTAAAAGAGGAGGTGAGGAGTGTGATGGTTCAAGGTGAATTTTTAGAGGATGGGGCTAAGATCAGTTTACAAAGACTAGTAGGATTTAGCCAGAAGAGGTGGAGTAGGCATTCTAGGTTGAGGTGACAATTTGAGCAAAGCCATGGAGGTCAGAGAGCTAGAAAGAGGTCCTTTCAGTATTCAAGGTACTGCAATGTTGCCTTTGTTTTTTGATGGCAGTACTATGGGGGTTCCTTATAATAACAGGGAAAATGTATCAAGAGATGAGACCGGTCAACAGGAATACAAGTAGATATTGAAATAGAAACTATGATTGTGCATGGGGAGTTAGAAGATGGAGAAAAGAGAGAAAGGCACACAAGGTTCTACTCCCCATGTCTTGAGGCTAGAGAGGGAATTCATTCATTTATTCAACAATTATTTTAATCATCCTGTGGTATATGCTTGGCACAGTGGAACTGTGGAAGACCCTGAGGTTATAGAAATGAACAAAATAACCATAATTCTCCCTTCAGGGAGTTTATAATTAAGTATTTTAACATAGGGACAGACTTTTGATTATCTTGACCCCAACTATTCTGGCTCTGTTTTCATTAAACCAGTGATTCCTCAAACTAGGATTTCTTATCCTCAGATAGGATTAAGGTGAGGGAAGGGATTATTAACTTCAAATTCTACTACACAATGGGAAATTATACAATCTATTATCATTACCTTTTCATTCAAAAGGGACATTCAGCACCTACAATAGGAAGAATAATCTCCCTGGGTGGTGCTTCACTACTAGCCAAAATGTTGGTAGGTAGAACTCATCCAGAGGCACCTCAAAAGACAAGCATAGCAATTTGCTTCTGAAGGTCAGAGCATTGGAAAGCCTATGGAGCAGACCTAGTCTACACACAAGGGGCCCTCCTGAGTCACAATCAACTAGATGGAAACTAACAGCAGCCCCATGCAGGAAAAGACAGTTCAGTCTACACTGACATATTCATTCATTCATTCTTTTATTTGCTCAACCATTGTTTCCTGAGTGCCTGTTGTGGTGGTGACCTGGTCTGTGCCAGGCACTGGAGATAAAACAATAGGCACAGGAGCATAGCCCTCATTCAGCTTGCCATTTTAAGAGGGAGCCACACCAAGGTTACCAATTGTCCAGGTGTGGCTAATGGTCTCCTTTTTTTTAATGTTTTATTGTGAATTATGTGATAGTTTACATGGGAGAACATTAGTTTTCATTCATTCATCCTATCGTAAATCATTTCATTGCCACGGGTCTAAAGTCTCCAGCCACTCCATTTCTCCATGTCATCATCTCTGCCCCCATTTCTGGCGTCACTGTTTCTCTGGGTAGGGTTCCGCTCTCCGTTCTTTTCCCTTCATGGTTCCAGGGACTTCTGCTCCTGGACTGCAAAATTAATCACTCCCCAACTTTTGCTACAAAATGTCTACCTTTATATTTCCAACCCTCATAGTCAGTCCTGATAACAATTATTCACTATTGTATCACAAGACACCTATCTGCATTGCCTTTCATCAGCCCCGCTCAGATAGATTGGATACTACTCAGTGGAGATTCGACCTTCTTCCGCACCCTCTAGATCTAGGCTGCCTCTTGAAAGCTTGTAAGCCAGTCACTTCTTGCTTTTGTAGCCTCACCCATTTTGGGTAGCCAATGTCCAAGTTGCCCATCCCTGTCTACTCTGTGTATGGGGGGTGGGGATGATCCTTACTGTAAAGATTTGTTCCCTTTTTTGAGCTATTGCATCCATAGGTGTAGGACAAGTTCATCAAATTGTATCAGATTACTCTTTTTTTTTTCTTGTTCTAGTTGAGCTCTGATCATTCAGTCATTGAAGCCAGGTAAAGTGGGTATTATCTGTAAGTCTGGGTGTTCTTATGCATATGCCCTCTCTTCTTATCAGTTAGACGCTTCACTCTCCACTCTAGTCCTCTGTGGGAATGTCACTGACTCTGGGCCATAGAGTCCCAAAGACTTGCCACACTGCTGGCCAACCAGGTCTCCACCCAGGTTTACAGGAGTCTATTGAACATTGTAGGGGTTAGCTTGCAGCTTCGTTGCTGTTTTTCCCTCACTTCTCCTTATCGGTGACGAACGTGGTCACCAATCAGAGTGTGTATTCCCATTGACTCTTAGTCTTAGATGGGGGTTTCCTGGACCTCTTGCCTTGATGTCTCCTAGGCGAACAATTTGCTTGTTCTTGTAGTAATCAGTCGGACTGCCTATATTGTTTTGTTTTTTTTTCTGGCTAATGGTCTCTTTAGTTTTAGCACTAAGTCCTATGTTCTGGACAACCCCTCAGTCCCAGGCGAACAGTTGGTTACACTATGGTAAGTGATAATCAAATCATTACACAAATGTATGACTGCCCAGTGTGTGACAAGTTTGAGAAGGAAAGTCAAAAAGCAGTATGAAGCCATTGAATGGAGGTACCTAATTTTGCCTGGGGTTTATAGAAGCCTTCTTTGAGGAAGTGATATTTGGATTAAGTTGTAAAACATACATAGTGTTTTACCACTTAATTCAATTTATCACTTAATTTTCCAGTGAAGGTATCTGAGTTGAGTGTATGCACATATGTATACGTGTGTGTGTATATATGTGTGTGTGAGAGTGATTGAATGTTCTAGCTAGAAGGAGCACACACTGAATCATCTTCATTTTTGTCACTTAGACTTTGCCCCATGAAAATTTTATCACATTAGTTGGTTGGTTGGTTATGCACCGTGGAGTGGGTTCTGACTCATAGTGATCCTGTATAGGGTGTCCACGGCTGTAAACCTTTATGGGAGCAGAAACCTCATCTTTCTCCTGTGGAACAGGTGGCAGTTTCAAACTGCACACCTTGAGGTTAGTAGCCCAACTTTTAACCACTATGCTACCAGAGTATATCATATGCCAACAAAAAATACTGGCCCAAACAGTACCCTAGAGATTCCTGGTGTGGCACTATAGGTTAATGCGTTGGACTGTGAGGTCAGTGTGAACTGCAAGATTAGTGGTTCAAGCTCACCAGCTGCTCCTCAGAAACCCTATACAGGACTGCTATGGGTTGGAACTGGCTCAATGGCACTAAATAACAACAAGAGTTTCTTTGACGTGACTAATACAATCTTTGCCCATAATGATTTAGGACCTGGGGTGTGAATAGATAGATGAACCAAAGTGAGCTATAAATAGATGAAAGATAAAAGAGGCTCTGTGCCCATCCCTTCTAGAAGTCTTAGTCCTACTTGGTAAATTAGTCTCGGAGAAGTTCATAAATTGTTCAAGGTCACATAGCTATTAAGTGGCTAAGATGATAAGTTTTCACCTCAAACCCCAGGATATGATTTTTTTCACTTGTATACATGTACTGCTTAGGAAAGCTCTGCATAGCTCCTTTCTTACCCCACTTCCCACAATTCCACAGCCTAAGGATGCTACGGTGTCCTCTGTAGCAGAATTTCATGAGGAGATTGTGTCTGCACTGCTCAGAAAGGAAGGCTTTGCCTAGCTCCATTTGGAAGGAAGCCTTGCTCTGAGTCCTGTTTGTACTCACTCATGTGAAATGATATTCCCTTCTCCTCAGACATCTGAGTAGAAGTGGGAAACAAAAGCACAAAGCACTCTCAAACCCATGTTCTTGGAGAAAATGAGTAATTGTTTTGAGGAATTAAAAGAGAATATACATATATATTTAAGTGTACTTTAATCCTTT